TAAACAGTAATACAAATACAATATTTGAATTTGTTTATCTGGATTAGATCTTTTATCAGTATAGTAGAAACTGAAATTGTCATTTTATGATTTCCACGTCATTTCACAACAGTTTGCCGCTAAGAACAGTCAGAAAACCTGGTTTCACTGAAACAGTGTCAAGGAAAAATGAACAGGACAATCTTCACCAAGGTGGTATTTCTTGCAGTGCAATAGAATTGGCTAGTAATAGACTATAGATAGTAATCATTGTCCTGCTATTGGGTCCAAACTACTGTAATGTGAAGGCAGGCAGTTTGAAAAACAAGCAGGTAGCAATCATCATGAATTAGGGTCGGTGTGAAGGATAAAGCATTGAGCGCAAACATTACAGAGCTTTGCTACGCTCATGCACTGAAACTGAGGGATAATAAATCTATCTGTTTGTATAGTGTACTTAGATTGGCTGTAATAAAAGGGTATACTGCAGGAAAGTTAAATACAAGTGCATGGAACTGTAGATGGAGTAGGTGCCCCTGAAACACATCTCAGTTATTATTCATATGACATGTGTGGGTGTTTAGAGGGTATTCATAAGATGGCAATGTCTGCTTTCCATTGCCTTCCATATGACTGACTCATTAAAGTATGCACTAAAGATCAACTAAAATGAACTACAAATAGAATATAGGCCTACTGTTGAACTGTTTCATCAAATGATTATGCAAATATTTGATAAGTTCCATAAGCAAGGGGTGACTACACTGTTTGCAAAATAAGTCCAATTGTTTAGAAGTCCATGAGAAAGTGTACCCAATTTTTACTTGATTTTTTACTTTTGTTAACATTGTCTTAATACTTTCATGGTCTCAGTCGCCATCTTAAATACAGCATGATGTTCACTGTAAATGATAGTTAAATTAAGAGTAAAATAGACAGTAAAACAGGATTTTTTTATGGTGTGGCTACCGTGTGATTTAAAGGTGACTTTTAGGGTGTTTTCCAGTCTGTGTGTTGTCTGTGTTTTTGTCTTAGGCTAACTTTTAGGCTGCAGCCACACGAGGACGATAACGGTCGTATCTGCTACAGTTCTCTATCAGATAGACGGTTCTGCCACACGAGGCCGACATGGAAACGCATAAAACGATAACGATAACGCTAACGGGTCCCAAGGTGGGTAGATCTGCGAACTAAACGCTCTGGGGGGGGCAAACGGCTCCGTGTTTACGCCTATACGATCATTTCCTGGTAACGATGACGCAATAGCCCCAGTGTTTCGAGCCAGGTCCCGGTATCTCGCAGGACAGTGCACCCAGCAGGAGCTTCCAGCTAGATTTGATCGATATGGACATAAACGCGAGTGAAGTCTAAGTAATCGGACAGGAGAGGAGACACGCAGCTCTGCATGATCACCTGCAGCTCCGCCCACTGTGATGGAGTGAAGAGCGGAACAAAACACACACTTCAAGTTAGATCATCACCCTTAGCTATTTTAATTACCTCTCAAACTACATAAACTAGTTATAAATATGTTTATTTTTACTGTCGGGTCACTCATTACTGGATCAGCCAGCTTTATGAGACCACGGATACTGACGGGCTGTGAGGAGAGGGGGAGGAAAAGAGAGGCTCCTTCCTCCGTGTATTATTCTTATATTATTATATAGAGTCGTTATTCATTTGTTTTAAAGCTCAATAAATAACAAAGAAGACCGGCACTTTTCTAATTTTGTCTGGAAGATTGAAACTTTAACGGACATGTTGATCGGCGAAACCCCACCTCTACTGCTCAATCCAGCGCGGAGAATAAACAGAAGGGCAACCATGGCAACCATGCATGCGCAATAAGTCTTCTTCGCTGCTTTTGGTATATTTTGTGGCGGAAGTACAGCGCCACTTACAGGCCCGGCATATGTACTACAGCGTCTCCATCGCTTTCAAACGGTTCGAACGGACACGTTTCTGGTGCCTGTTACGTGTGGACGGAAGACTGTTTTGATAACGATTTCGGTCCGTTTGCGTTATCATCCTTGTGTGGCTCTAGCCTTAGACTAAGGTTGCCGACAAATGCCTATTTAACATTTGGATGTACCACTCACTCTTCCGAATCACTTCGGAATCAAGATAAACCACATCTCAACAGCCAAATGGCAAAACTCAATGCTTTAAAGTGGTCTTCAGAATCAATGTCATATGGATTACTTCTACATCTTTTGTACACTCTATGGCTACAATTATTTATTATAAGACAAAATGCTAATTAATAAGGCACATATCTTTCTTATGTGTTTACCATTCTGGGAGTTAGGGTTAGTAACTGCATTCAGTAAAAGACTCTCTTTATGGTGCCGGTGTGGGGATTTAGTTTCAAGTACATGACTTATATGATCAAGGGAGATCAGTTTGTATAACAGATCTCCTCGTTTGAAGGGTCATCAAACAACAAACAGTTACACAGCAGTTTATAATACTATGAGACAGGGTTTTATCACAAAGTTATCACAAAGTAAATCATTTTATCCTCTGCCACAGTGATTGCAAGGTAAACAGTTGAATAAGCCGTTTATGTTACAAAGTCATCCCTGAAAGTGCACTCTCAGTATCCTGTGTGTGTGTGTGTGTGTGTGTGTGGGGGGGGGGTTTGTTTAATTCCACAGCACGTATTGAAAACAGTGACCGTTTCACAATGTGTTGTGCCCATCTGAACCTTTGTAATGCTCATGATACGTTCTGACAGCTATAAAATGGGCTGATAACTTTCAGAATGGATGGGAATAAAGACAGGCATTGAACAAGTTGCTGTAGCTTCTCTTGTGTTTTCAGTCTAATTATCTTTTCTAAATATACATGTTTTAATAATCATGCCCTTCAGACTTAGTTTCCCTGTGTTGCCCTGCTTTCATGAAGGAAACACAATGTGGCCAGCATTAATAATAGCTTGTACAATTTGCACTGCATCTGTGTCCGGGCTACAGACATACATTGGTTCATTATGTAAGAATAAACCTCCTAATGAAGCACAAGTTGACTGCATGCTCCTGGGGCCATTCCTTTAGATGAAAGCTTTGTCATGGATTGTACTAAATGGTTACAAATCTGAGCTCTCCTTTGAAGACAAATATGCAACGTAGCAGCTACAAACTAATTACATTGCTGTCTTTACAGGGGTGCAGTCTGAATGACCATATGAGTATTATTAAGGGACTAGGCCTATTGTATGCATGCAAGTGTTTTTATAATGATATTAACAGCACAATACAGTTTAGTTCTGCTGGTAAAAGTAAACTATTGACCTCAAAAAAGTCACTGAAAGAGCAGCGAGTAAAAAATAAGACAATGATACAGTATATGTACCTCCCTCTGTGTATTTTTCGGAGTGTGTGTGTTTGTGTGTGTGTAAGGGAGAGTACTCCGGGGGAAAAGACTGTCACTGCTGATATTTTGTTCAGAGAAAATGCATACATAATGTGCTAATGTTTAACGCTGTTTGTTTTGCCAGCAAATTAATTCAAATGAGGTGGATCGGTACTTTTCTCCTGGTATTTGCATAATGCTCAAATACCTTGGGGTTCCGCTGTGGCTGGAGTAAAGTGATAAAATGATTATCAGCTACTTAAAATTGATGAATTTTCAGGACTCATCTCTCTCTGTTGCTGTGCTGTTGACCAGTTGAATTTAAATGAGTTCTTTGCTTCTGCACGATATTTGTCCGGGGAGCTAAGGACCAGGAACAGTCAGATCTTTATGGATAATGCTGGTGATGGTTTATATATGTGTTTTTGTCATTACCAACACCAAAATTAAATGGGTCCAACAAGTAATGTGACTCACAGCCTGACATATCCCATTTATCTGTATGACAAAGCTGCATTGGCGTGCCACAATGATTGAAACGCTCCTTCATTGCCATTAAGATGGACTATGGAGTTCGTTGTTTTGAGTATTTTGAGGCAGAAACACACACACTGTGCTGCCGCCTCATTACAGCACCATGTTTCCCTAATAAATACAATGTTTACTTGTGTTTGAATTTAAAACTACAGGGCCTAATTGTTCTTGTTAATAACTGAGCCTTAATTAAAGTACTTGAGGACAAAACAATATTAAAACCAACATTTAGTTTGGTTCTAATATTTTCATGGGATTTAATAAGATGAAGACAATTATAGAGTTTGTAATATACATAGAACCATTCCGTCCGTATCTTTTTGAGTTTTGAAGTCCACTTGCAATTAAATACATAGGAAAAATGTTTGATTAATTGCAGTGATTGGGTTAAATGTCTAAAATGATGATACCAATTCGATTTTCGTGATTTAAAAAAAGGGGCGCAGAACCTCTGCCTTTTCATTTTAGTGCCAATGTTAATAGTTCAGAGCAGCCTAAGTCTAAGCTATTTTTGTTTCTGCCGTGTCGCACATAGTTTATTGCAAAAATAGACAATCAAGAGTATCTGCTGATGTTCATATTGACATCTTACCAGAAACATTACACATGTTTCAATTTCAATGGCATTATTCTACTGTCACTGGTATTCTTCTACTTTTCTTTTTGTGCTACCCAATTCCTATAACCACAAGGTTGTAGTATAACATTGTCTTTCTGCTCTGACTATGTAAATGTCCTCTCTGTTGGCCTAACAAATACATTCTGATTCTGATTAACTGTAGAGAAAAATACAGCATTTTGTAAAAACAGTATTACATTTTTTCAATGAATTTACAATAAATGTATAATAAAAGAAAAATAAACATTACATTATTGATGACCATAATCAAATGCAAACTCAATGTAGAAAGATGGGGTATTAGGTAAATGTGATCAGACATGTGTGACAATGTAAGGGGAGTTTATTCTACAGTAATGTGTATGTTGCTTTAAACTTCTGTTATTCTGGCCCGCTTCAGAACCTTTCAGACCTCTTTTGTGTGTGAATGTGTCCATAATGCTGTTAAGCTCTCCTGTTTAAAAGCAATTTGAACTGAGTGAGTATTCACCTTTTTCTGTATTCCTATTTTCAGGGAGTTCAGCCACTGGAAGGTGAACAGCCTGGCAACAGAGAAGAGAGATTTCCTCAAAGCTCCGTTGCCCTTAGCGCCAGAGTTCCTGCGAAACCTGCGGTTACTGGGGCGACGGCCAACCCTGCAGCAAATCAACGAAAACCTCATCAAGAAGTACGGGACGCACTTCCTCGTCTCTGCTACCCTGGGAGGTAAGGAAGTGACACACTCGCCTTTATTCTCGGGTTATGAAATGTCGGGAAATACCAAAAATAGAGACCTACTCATTTTGGTTCTCAGAGGAATTATAGCTTTGCAAGTCGAGTGCTTCAGAAGAGTAGAATCTATTCCTGCTGATATTCTTTTCAAGGAAAAATGTCAAGTGACCTGCAGAATTCATCAGAGGTTGTTTCCCACAGTTATTTCCTTTTCCTCCTTCACTATGATGATCATTGCACGGAGCTACAAGGGCCTTACAAAGCAGATGAGGGATTACATTGACCCGTTTCTCAGCATATGTCTCTGTTTTTATTGGATTTCTTGTTACCCCGATCTCCGAGGAGAGAAGTAACTCACAAAACAGAATCGCAAGGGCTATCGATCGTGTGCGTCCGACAAAACAGGGCTGAGACCTGTGTGACGACCTCATGATGTTGATACACTGCTGATCCTTGTCACCTCATAGCAGCCCAGATATACGAGTGCATTTTTACACTTTGTTGTTTCTTGTAGAAAATTGATAGTGAGTATAAAACACTTCAGCATCCAACATCATTATTACTATCAGAGTTAAAGGACATTTACAAGCCCAGGGACTTGCATTAGTAAAAAACATAATGGGCTTTAGATTAGGATTTTCTTTTTAACTTTCTGTTATAGAGTTGGTTTACATGACCAACATAAAAAACATATTTCTTCATAGGAAGTAGATCAAACCATGCCTTATCGCGTGTCCTGAAAACAAAAGCATGTTAAAAATATGTACCTGAATGAAACGTAAAAGGAAAAAAAGAGAAAAGATCAAATGAATAACATTTATTTAAAATAAATATAGTAGTAATAGGAATAATGAGAGTAATAGAGTGAGGCAACTCCCAACAAACATTCGGATGTTATTTATTTGATGTGTAAGGTTTGCATCCCTCCCCATCTAACTTAGGCTCCTCTTATCACTGGGTTTCTAGACGGTGGCATCAGCATGGGAGACGGAGACAGAGATGAATGCAGCAGCAGACTGATAGTTAGACTCTATATGTAATTAACAGCCTCCACTAAATAGTCTGAGCCAGTCTGCATACTGATGAGGCCGGGGCTGAGCGATTGCACACATCCCCAATCTCATTTTCTCTGTCTTTTGTTCGACCGTGTTCATCTCTTTCTTGCTTGTTATGGCTGACTCTCCAGCCATGGTTACATTGAGCTGTGAAGTCAACTTTGCGGTTTTGAAGTGAATAAATTGACTTCATGACTGACAAAAATAAAAATACTGTCAATAATAAATGTTGTGAAAGCAATGAAACATGTTTGTTAGTGATTGTAGAGACTGCAACAATACAACGTCTGTCCATCCTGCGAGAGCCTCATTGTTCTTTCAAAAGACTCTTTCATTTTTCCCAGTTAATTGGGTATTTCTATTTTTCTTTCCCTTATCCTCAAATGGCTTTTTTTGGGAGTGCCTTGAAATCAATCTCAGCTTCCACTCCCTATAACATAAACAAATTACTGTAGTCTCAGTACATTCTGATTTAAAAATTCAACATGCCTTTGACCGTAATTGATACATTTATATTCATAATTAAATTACTTAAATTCAATGGAATGGGGTAAATATAGTGCAGAGTATAGTAAATAATAAATGGTTACATACTCAACCCCAGCTAAGATTAGAATTGTAATCTCTTTGTGACTCTTGGAATGATGGAAAAAACAAATCAATAGTATACTGACCGAAAAAGGTGTTGGCTAACGTATTAGCATATTACTCTAACCACATATACAATCATTCACAACTCTATAATATAATAATCTAAATTCCCACCAAATGTAGGTAAGGTTGTGCCCCATCCTTGAAGCTAGGAGTGAAAGCCAAAGTTAGCATGCCTAATATTCCAACCCAGTCTCACGGCATTTCGTGTTATAGTCACAACATTTAATCTATTGATTCGTGTTCACCAACACAATTTCCCCTTTTTTTCGTGTCACACAGAACAATTTTAAAAGCAATGTTTCATTTCAAACCTTTATTTGTGCAGGTGAATCCCATTGAGATCATTGATCTCTTTTTCAAGGGTGACCTGCTAGAATGTATTTCTATTAGTAGTGTGTTTCGTGCCTGCAGCACGTCTTTTTGTCCGGTCGGGTCTTGGAAGACCGGAAGCTGTGTGGTTCATAAAAACATTTTCTTACTCAATATCAAGCCACGATTATTGTTTTTATTTTAATTCTATAATGTCTGACTTTTTTGCCATCCGTGAGGAAAATAAATGGGGCTCAGAATACTGAAATATGTATTTTTGTTAAAAAATGTGTTATTCTTTTCTAAATAACACACTGTTATTTACTTAACAATAACACACAATTATCCTTGTTTTTATTTACTTTCGGGTTAATAATGTGGCCTTTTTGGCAGATTAACTAAAGGTGTGCGGCTGCTTTGGTGGGGAAAGATGAGGCTGAACTTACAATGGGGTTTAATGGAGACATGTTGAACGTTTTTGTCACTTCATGCCCTCAAGAGGCATTTTGTTTAATTATTTTGTTTAATCTATTTTTATTTTTCAAGCTACGAGATGTTTACGAGATGTTTTCCTACGTTTCTCATGCCAAACCCCACTGCAGTCAGCATGTGGTTGTGTCCCTGAGACACTTCACCCCAAATTGCTCCTGTGGGGATTGCCCACAGTATTGAGTATGTAAGTCGCTTTGGATAAAAGTGTCTAACAAGTGACATGTAATGTAATGGGTTAGGGTTAGGGTTATAAATGATGTCTCAGGAATGTAGGGTTTGGGAATTATGGCAGGTTTACAGTAAAATAAAATATGAAGGCAAAATGAAATCTGTCCTCCACTCTAGCTGTGACATCACACACTCTAAAATGTGAAGAAGGCCTCTTTACCAAGGTCTGAACAATGTTTAATATCTCTAAAAGTAAGAATCAGATTTAAAAGTTGTGTTACACGAATAATCTCAGAAAGATGTGTAACATATTAAAGTTGGAATGAGGTTTCTGAGTGAAAGTATGAAGGAGCAGTTAGCAGTTGAAGTTGCATGAAGATTATTCAAGTCTGAAGAGTTTCTCCATTGACTTCCATGTTAAAAGTTTGATGAATTATGGGATGTATCTCTGGAATTATGAAAGTTGTGAATGCTAAAAGTAATAGCCATCGATTCCCGACCGAGCTGAACGTTTTGATGTTTGAACAGAGTTTCTGTGATGTTACATGTGGGAGAAGAAGAGGTGCAAAATAACCTGGTGGAATAATAAATAATTTTGTGCGTAGCATAACAGATAGTTGGAATGCTGTGTCAGCATTCCCACTAAATAAGTGCTTCAACATAACATCGCAGGAAAGCAATATATTAGACGTTAAGTACTTTGTCAGGCTTAATATTTATCTGTAGATACCCCCAAAGCTTTTTTATTATTTAAAAGAAGACCTTAACCTAAAGTATTCTTTAATGTTTAAATAAAGGTTCATTAGTTTGTCTGTTTTGCACATCCTCATATTAATATCTTTGTACATCATGCACTAAACTGTTTTATTGTACAGATCAATGATAGTATCTACTTGACTTTTTTATATTCTATAATTCTATGATTGACCTTCTACTCTCCCCCTATTTTGTATGTACTCTTAATATGTTTTTCATCAAAAATAACATATTCAACAAAAAAATGCAATAATGTGCTTTAACTACTAGGTGGTTGCTGATATATTTATGATCCACGTCACGTATTCCGTTTCGGTGGCGGTTCTTCCAGTTTGTCCAGAAGTCTTCTAATCAGGGCTCTATAAATAAAGAACTACGGCAGATGTGTAATATTTAATGCAGCCAAACTGTGTATTACAATGCATTTATGTGATGACTTCCAAAGAGAAAAGCAAGCACACTCGGATTAAAGTATTATTTTCATTTTTTTTATTTATGTTTTCGGATTTCATATCGCATAAACACCATATCCATTCCCAACGTGCATTGCGGCTAAAACATCCAATCACTGAGCTTCAACCATAGCTGAGGATCTTGGGTAATCAGTTCAGTGGGTGTGTAGTTCAATGACGCTCGAAATATCCCATATATAGGCCTACGTCTGTTTCCAGTGACATTATTTTGAAATTCAGTTCCTGACGGATGGCATAAAAGCCCAAGATTATAAAATTAAACAAATAAATAAAAACAAGGATAATTGTGTGTTATTGTTGAGTAATTAACAGTGTGTTATTTAGAAAAGAATAACAAATTAGAAGGAAAAACATATGTAAAAAATATAGATTTCAGTATTCTGTGACTCTGAGCCCCATTTATTTTCCTCACAGACGGCAAAAAAAGTCCCAACATTATAGAATTTATAAAAAGAAATAATAAAAACAATAATCGTGGCTTGATATTGAGTAAGAAAATGTTTTTATGAACCACACAGCTTCCGGTCGTCCAAGACCCGACCGGACAAAAATACGTGGTGCAGGCACGAAACACACTACTAATAGAAATACATTGCTTTAAAAAAAAGGGGGAAATCATGTTGGTGAACACGAATCAATAGATTACATTTCGTGACTATAACACAAAATGCTGTGAGACTGGGTTGAATATTCAACATCCTCTCCTCTTGTCCTATCCCCCCCCCCTCCCTCGAAAATAAAATAGAATTGTAACACAAAACACTTTATGTTTAAACTGTCGAACAGGAAGACAACAAATAAAAAAGAGCTCCACTGGCATTTTGGAAAATATGGCGCAAACTCACAATTGCTATGTTATTAGCATTAGCAAGCTACAGTACTGCGAATGTATGTGGAGGATGCTAGCTAAATGCCAAAATGCTATGTTAAACAACTATCTTCCAGCTCTTTATCAGACATTCAGTGTGTTATTCTCCATTTTCAAATGCTGCTATTAAAACTTAAGTTGAGAGTGCCTGTTGGATAATTCAGGAGGTGGGCGTTGGGATTAATTCCAGTAAATACACTGAGCTGTGCCAGCTCTGACTTTCTAGAATGATTCAAATGTAAATATAGTTAGTTAACAGGAGTGACTGGCATTGCTCAGCAAGACTTGGACACACTTGATTATTTTTTAGACATTACATTGCCCTTTAAATCAGTATCTTGTTTTTTTTCTACATTATTTCAACGGACCCATGTATACTTGTACTTCTAATGTGTAAAAGATACATATAAAGAAAAACAAAACTCTTATTAAATCAGAGGACAATGTCAAATACATCCTAATGTGGTATGGCGTTGTTAATAGATCTGTAATTTTCTGAGGAAAGAGAGCAAAGCAAAAGAACAATTATACATTTTCTGCACAATATAAAGCAGAATGTCACTTATTTTCTACTAAGGATAATATCAGCCTGCCGCACTGGCATGGTAAACCGCTATAATTGAAGTGACTCTTCAGTCATTTCCAGGTAAGCACAATAACAAGATAATTCAATACTTACTCGATTTAACAATTGTTTATTGATCCACAGGAGAGGAGTCCTTGACCATTTTCCTGGACAAGCAGAAGCTGAATAAGAAGTCGGAGGGTAGCAGCAACAGCTCAGTGGTGTCTCTAGAGCTGCTCCATCAGCTGGCTGCTTCTTACTTCACAGATCGAGAGAGCACCCTTAGGCGACTGCACCACCTCCAGATTGCCACCTCTGCTATAAAGGTACTGTACACAAACACACAGCGAGAAACTAAGCCTACACACAACACATACACAGACACCTTTTCAAGCAGAGCTAAAAATGGATAGTTCACTTCATAGCAGCTGTGTAAATACACTGTTTATTTCCTTTATGTAGACTCATGTTTGCAGTTCTCCAGGTCCACAAACAACCACTCATCAAGGCTAGACACGAAAACATTAACGCTCCTGTAAAACTGTCCCTTTTGGATATATTACTCCAAGCTGTGCCTCTAACAAATAGCTGTGCTTGGTCTCAATGTATGCACACAAACAGTCTTTTTTAAAGCTTATCTTCAAGGTGCATCATTGCTCAAAAGCTGAGGGAGAGATGAGGAGAGCTTGCGAGGACATTTAGAAAAAAAGAAAGAAAGAAAAACTGGCCTGGATTTAAAGCACAGTGTATGCACTGAAACCCACCGAGGCACTAAAGCGAGGCAAATGTCAAGTTTCTTTAGAGTCCCAGTGGGAAAGTATGTGTACTGTATGCATACTGTAGTCTACTGTACGCCACCTGGAATGGGTTACAGACTGCTGTGTTCTCTCCTGTAAGTGCATGAGAGTTATAACACCTGTAATTATCGTTTGTTCTGTTAAAAGCTGTTGGACTTTGGCACTAAGTGGCTTTGATACTCTCATTTTAAGTGGTTTAACACCTTTTTGAGCATGTAGGTTTTTTCTTTTCATGGACTCACTCAATTCACTTCACTCTCCACTCAACATGTCATCATTTACCAGAAATCCATCACCAGTTTTTTGTTTAGTCATTAATTGCGTTAGGTACAGTTTTGTTGAAAATCCACACAAAGAACACGGACAAATAAATCCTATTATCTCCTGGGCCTGGTTTCGCCTGGTTTAAATCTGTTTATTTCCTCCTGACGGAAGCAAAGCATTATTGTGACATACATTTTTCATATTGGAACAGATTTGCTGGCTCTTATTCGATGACAGCAGGTGTGTGGGTGGGTGTACTCTGCTTTCATGCTTCAACTTCAATAGCAAATCAGATTGAAATGAGTTATGGCTAGGTGGAAACTTTGTGTGTACCTTGAATTAGGTTGCTCATTTACAAGTGCTGTCCCTGAAAACCCTGCATGTGGCAGGTTCCCACTATGCAGAGGTGAGATGGACCATTTATGTTTTCAAAAATCACTTTAAAAGAGGACACTAAAGTACTTGATTGCTTGAAAATGTATTTCCTCCAAAACCTTGAAAGGTATACAATTGCTATTTCGCAAAGAAGACAGGCAGAATAATATTAAAACATGACATTGAAATATCATGATGGGAAACAAATGTGTTTAATGAAGAAGATGTTAAGTACATAATTAGTAAAAGTGAATCTAAGGGAAAAAGCACAACATACTTGTCTACAGTGAAGAAATAGCAGAAGAAAAATAGACATTTGCATACAAAGAGCAATACAGTTTTTATATTTATTGAGAAGCTTACTGTAATTACAACAAACCACCACTTTATATGCAAGCAACAGTAACATTGAAGAAGTTGAAGTATTAATGCTGAATCTCATTACAACTTCAGCACCCAGAGAAACACATTGTCTGCTAAGCCTGATTTAATAAGGAACTGAAATCTTTGCACATTTTGATGCATTTGTGTCTGTGGGGAGAAGCTAATGAGTGTCTGCTGCGCTAAAACAATCGCTTATCTTTTGCAAAGAAGTCAACAGTTGTAAATAAGTAAATGGCACCATTAAGATCTGTTTCCCCGTGTCAGTTAGTCTGGTTTCAATCCATCCAGAAATATTTTGTGAAATGCATTTTTTATAAATCCTCTGCCTCTCAGGCCTATTAAACAGTCCTGCCTTCAATCAGTATGTGTCAAATGCTGCAGTTTGGTCTGAGTGGAGCCTTCTTTAATGCAAAATGATGTATAATAACATCATGTCTGATAGTTGTGACATGTAAGAAGAATTCAAAAACATTTATATGATAAGTCATATTTATAGCAGTAGGAAATGGGCCAATCCTTAGGAACATGTCTCGTCTATCTAGTATTGTTAGAAATTACTAGGGATTGAACGATATATTGAATATCGCGATATCGCGGTAAATAAATGTCTCAATACCGTTGTGAGACTGACAAAATCTACCGCGATTTTTAAATTAAAAAAAATATATTATTATTATTATTTTTATTTTATTTTTTTAAATCTTTATTTAACCAGATGGTCCCTTTGAGATCATCAATCTCTTTTTCAAGGGAGACCTGTCCAATATGGCAGCAAGTAGGTTACGACATGAACATAAAACAAAAGATAACACAAAAGGACATCGTATTTACAGGGATACATGTACATATTACTGTTCTATATGTCAAATCGGGTCATTCTGATCCTTTCTTTACGTAATATACATCATTCCAGCATATCATGTCAGCAAGAAACTCTGGTCTTTTGGTACTTTAAAGAATGATTTCCTTTTCTCACTTTTGTGGGTAGAAGTGATTTTTATCAATATGACACATAGCTGTAGTAATTTGAAATACAACTCTACACAAGGTTACCTGTACAGAGGAAGATGTATCTACTATTTCTGCTACAGTTAATACCCACAGGCTTTATTCTGTTGGTCTATTTTGTAACAAAACCCCCTTCATACACATTTACCTTTTAAAGAAAAAACATTTGCTTTCAATCAGCGCCCTTCAAATTTGAAGGGCTTCTAGATAAACACATGAAGTTCCCACCAATGGTTTGAAAAGAGATTTCTATGTTTGAGTTTTTGTCCAAGCAAAAACCATTTTAAACGAGGTGTAATTTATCAAAATGAATCCATGGTTGAACCTTATTTTTTCACACCACAGTTCTCCCTCATGACAAAATAATATAATTAGGTTGTGGAATATGTACCTGAAACATTTGCATATTAATCATGAAATGCAACACAACTCATTTCCTAATTCGTAATAACCTCACACCAACCATGTGCAGTTTTTAATATTATTCAGACTCAGCTCTCTGAGCTTAAGCTTATTTTAAATGTTGATAAAACTAAAGTAATGCTATTTTCGAAAGCCAAAAAGACACCGGAGACCACTTTGTATATTGTTACTACGCAAGGACAAGTACTTGAAGTGGTTGCCTGTTATAAATACCTTGGTATTGAAAGTAGCTATTTCCTGGTTTGAAATGAATCTGATTACCTGTATATGATGACATAAATAAAACAGCTTTCCTTCTGGAAGAATGACACACACACACACACACACACACACACACACACACACACACACACACACACACACACACACACACACACACACACACACACACACACACACACACACACACACACACACACACACACACACACACACACTCACAAGTGCTCACTCAACAAAAACACAACCAATCCCACCCGGAGAGGGGCATCCTTTACATGTGTCTGTTAAATGAGTATCTCCGGTATGCAAGCCACCTGTCGCGCCGTGATGAACTCATCACCCCGAGAGGAAGTGACACTGAGTGGGAAGTACTTGACCTGTGTCCATGTACGCCTCTGGGCTCTGTTGCTGCAGCACTGTGTGGGAGGTGGGAGTGGAATACATTATCTTTATCTCCGGCAATAAAGTGGCGGAACCTCTATCACACATTTAGTGCAGACTACCGTTCTATGAGAGAAAGATAAATCCATCTGTAACACCTGTGTGAAATGTTCAGTTAGTAATGAGAGGAACTGGCTGTGTAAGATGTTTCTTTCACCGCCCTGCCATTTTTAAGAGCCAGAATCAGCAGGGAACTGCAACCAGATACTTTGCTCCTCTATAAAACCTCATCATGTTGTAGTAAAAAACGTTTTGTGCAAATTAAGATGTTTTATTGACCACTATAGTATATAGCCATATAAAAACGAAAAGTAAAGCTTTATATTCCTGAAAATAGTAATAGTAATTTTAGAACTAAATCTCCATAACTTTTGGTCTCACTTAAATCTCCAATATTACTTTATGATGTTTACTTTGTATTTGATGCTGTCATATAACAGAATAAATCACTATAGTAGTAAATCTAGCAGTTTGTTTTTTGGAATGCAATGGGACAAAGTAATACATTCGTCATTGCTCATCACATTTGATTCACATAATTCTGTATATTTCTTTCTTTGTCAGCTGTCTGTCTTTGTTACATGCATAGCACTCTTAGAACCCAGGCTTTCCTTATTATATATATATCTCCTATTCTAGTTAAAACTTCAAGAGAGGACAAGACCATCAGTGCCATATTTTTGATACAATGCACATCAATGAAGAGGTTACATGAGCATAACAATGTAAATAGAATATATGTTTTGTTTGACAATTGTTTAAATCAGTTGTCATACTTTGGCTGTTGAAACACACAAGGGAATGTAAAACAAAGTGTTTGGGGTCATGAGAAAAACACACAGTTCCTGCCATGTTTGAATAATGCACCATGTTGAATACACATTAAAAACAAAAATGGCCCATGTTGAATGATCCACTCAGTGAAGAGCTCTTGGGAGTTTTCAACAAAGGCACAGACGGGGGTGGAAGCTCTCAGGTGGGTTATCATTGAAGTTCCTCACATTAGTAACAAACAAGCCCAGCATACATTGGGTGTAACACAGTGTAAAGTTAGTGTTCTGCTTTCATGTTTTCTTCAAAGAAAACAAGTAAAATGTAAAGTGTAGACTAAGGGAATAAACACTTTTAAAGTAAGATAGAGATTTAACATGAGAAAAAAGAAAAAGACTCATGGACTTCTTGTATTAAAGTGATACTTTATACAAATATGCACCTGTTAGCACCTGTTAGCATCCACTTGCATCTTTGCATTGACTTTATTAGCAACAGGCTGCCTCAGAAATTCCCCCTTAGTTCAGTCTGATCAGACTTTAAGAGGCTGACTTTTATTTTAAAAGAGAACTCATTTTGTCGATACAACAACAACTTTGAGATGCAACAGTGGAGTCTTTTCTAATTATCAAAGCAAAGATTATCTTCACTCACATCTTGAACAACACCCAACACAGCCTCTCTCCCCTCCACTAAGCTCTCTTTGCTTATTGCCTTTATGTTCCGCTAATCTTTAACCAAATCTCAGTGATTTCTCTCTTTCTTTGAGATTTTTGAAAGATGTTTGAGATATGTATCTTTTTGTAGCGCCTTGAAGGCTAACTTCCATGTCTTTTGATAATAGATGCAATCTCAATGCAAGGAACAGTGTGTAGAATTGAGGAACAGGGGTATTTTAAGGATGGCAAGTGCGCACAGATTGCTTCATTTGCCAAAGAGTGTGATTTAGCTGGAAAATGGCTTTGCCAGAGGCTATATCCATCTTATAAGGCTAATTGTACTATCTTAAAGCACTCACTCTGGAAATAAAATATGTGCTGTACCCTTGCTCATTCATTCTCAAAGTTATTTCTCTTTATTTCCCCTTCCTGTCTTTAGTCTTTAATCATCATGTTCTTTTTGTCTCAAGCTTGATCTTTGAACATATCATTCTCGCCCACATTCATACCCTTTGTCTCTTTATATACTTGACTTGTATATGTCATCCTCTGCGCTTCTCTCTTTTGTCTGCACTTCATTTTTTCTTGAAGTCGTATACTGTATAGTAGTTGAGCATGCTCACAACATGTCAAGAAGGTTGTCTTTTTTGTAATATACTAATGAGGTTTATGGTGAGATGTTTGATTTGTAATGAATATTTCTTTGAAGTGACAGCAGATATATCAATCACATTTCTTCAGCTCAGTAAGTTGGTTTAAGTCATTTGTGAAATTAAAATACACAAATCAGAAACCAACTGTAACTGTCTACAGAAAGACAGAATGGCAGAGTGAGGGCAGATGAGAGATTGTTATAAAAAGGCATACATATACACATTTTTTCTGTTTTTTTCCCAAGGATAGCAAGCAGCAGGAGTCACTTAACAATGATATAACTTTTTCATCCACCTCTCTGTTTGTTGCTCATCTTGTTATTGTTCTAAACCTAATTTAAATCATGTTTGTGCCTAAACCTTATCCCATAACCCATAACCCATAACATTTTGTCGGCCAGTTTGGGACAGTTGAAAAAAGTACATTATTGACTTATCACTTGTTAGGAAACAGTTCCCACATACATATCCAGCAGAAATGGAGCGACATGTTAGTGTTCACCTTATGTATGCAATTTTCACTCTCTTTTAGCTCTGTTTTTGGTCTCCACCATCTCCTGGGGGAATAATCTGTCTTTTTAGCTGCGTAACAGATATTGCATAATACAATGAATATTTTCCTGGATTCTGGGTGAAATATACTGTCCATGACATACTTTAAAATGAGTCTACTATTTGAACATATTGCGTGAAGACAGGATACATAAAACATGTCAAAGGTTTGGGGAATAGTGGTTATAGGGGCTTACATTTTCCATTAGTTCGAAAAACAAATAGTGTTTTGCTCTCGTGGTTGTAAATTAAACAACACATACTGTATGTACTGTAGCTTTGCCTGTGGTGTGGCCACCCAGAATCCAAAATCATAATGCCTGCTCCAACATCTTGGCAACATCTTTAAAATCTTACCTTTTGAATATCAGATGCATATACAGATCTGGGTGCTTTCAAACACACACTTGCAACCACTCTTTAAACCAGAACAAGGCATCAGACTTAATGCAACCTTCCCTTTGTGTCTCTTTAAAGTTTACATTTTCCTTTTCAAGAACCTGTGCTTGCTTTCTTCCTCCTTTCCACTGGTCTCCACGAGACAGCCACCACATTGCAGGTAGCTGTGGCTGCAGGTGTGGGAGGGAAGCAAAAGATGGCGACACCTTTCCCTGCTGTCAGGGGGCTCCGCCACATCCAGTCCTCCTCTGCCTGCCTTCACACAAGCTGTGTACTTTACTGCCAGAAATGGGGAAAAAAACAACTTCCTCATGCAGTGCTAAATGTGGCAAATTAAAAAAACAACATCATATATTTAAAAAATATCTGTCCTTCTTCTGTTTCCTAGGTAACTGAAACAAGGACGGGCCCTCTCGGCTGCAGTAACTACGACAGCTTGGATTCAGTTAGCTCGGTGTTGGTGCACAGCCCGGAAAATAAGATCCACCTAAAGGGTAAGGCTCTATAACACCCACACACACACGCACGCACACACGCACGCACGCACGCACGCACGCACGCACGCACGCACGCACGCACGCACGCACGCACGCACGCACGCACGCACGCACGCACGCACGCACGCACGCACGCACGCACGCACACACACACACACACACACACACACACACACACACACACACACACACACACTCACACACACACACAGGCACACACCACACACAACCTCTCAAGTATACTTTAGTCTGTGCACACACACACAGACAAAAAGAAAAGGTCCACTAAGGTATTTTATGCACACACACACTTGAACACACACTGTCACCACCTCCATCCACCACCCTGCCAAGACTCTCACCTCCTGTGTGTAGCAGTTGGCCGGGATGACCCTTTGCTTTATGCTGCAGTAGTTTATATGTCTGTTCTGCCTGACTGAATCTCGGTCTCATGGCGAATGGGTTATCTTACCAGGCTGTAGATGGACCATGTCTGGCAACACTGATCCCAACCTCACCCCTCTAACAACTACCCGGAACAAAAAGTACAGAAGTGAAGCTGAAGTGGTAATCGAAACGCATACCCTAATCAATCTGATGATGGTTATTGGTGGAACAAAAATCCTCATGGACATTCAAGCACACTGCTAAAATAATTCTGGGTAATGTTCTTAGCCTTAATAACCTTATTAATTTTGCAACACTTGGTGTGCAGTGAGTTTTGCAACAATGCATCCAGTGCTATAGTCCTACCTATAGCTTTTGTATATACTTTGTGGCAAACAAGAAGAAGTTTCAGTATAAGCATCTTGTTTAAAACTGATTACATTCAGAAGGGGCCATCTTCGTTCCTTGAAAGTTGTATATTTTTGTAATACATGGCTGTCATACAAGTATTAAATACCCCACTGTCAGAACATTTTATGAATTGGCACAAAAGCCAGTAGAAATAAACACACGTTGTGACATAAAATACACAGGGATAGACGGAAAATAAGGTATGTATTTATTTATTTTCAATTGGATATAACAAAACAAAACAAAAAATTGATATAAAAAAGAGTGTTATACATATTGCCAATTAGTTTGTGTTACAAAGATTTGTAATATAGCGCACAGTGTTTGTATGATTGTGACTGTATCTGTTTCGCAGGGCTCTGGTAGTAAAACAATTATTATGGTTATTATCAATATTATTTCTTAAAAGAAAATTATCACCACTCAATGGGATACATCTCAATTTAGACATGTTGGGGGGGACCAGAGTGGGTTGTAGGATGGGCTGGAAAGCTGTAAGTAAGTCTATAAACAATTGTATAAACTATTTGAGTACAAACCATTAGCATGGCATATTCAAAATATCTAATATGGTGATCCGGCAAATGAAATGTCTGTACTAACAGCATTTGATGTATGCTACAATATTAACAGGACTGCTTCTTATATTAACATTTGGAAGGAATCAATCACCCTGATTGGTTTCTCAGGCTCCTATCTGCATCCAAATGTTGTTTTTAGTTTTCAATAGGCAAGGATAAAACTAGGATTAGTGTGGAGTAGACCATAGCAAAGGTAACACTGTTGAACATGTGGTTCCACTGATGATATGATTAAAATTCCCTTTGAAGATGGCTTGTGAGCCACGCACACAGCTGCTGATGGTTGACACATATGCCGTGATGGAGCAGGAGGTGGTCAGTGAACAGTGAACACTACAAATCCAGTGAATATCGGGATCAGTGTAACACTCAATATTAATGGGAAAACATTTGCTTATTAGCTACATGACCATATTGGATATGGACAAGAGATCCCCATTCTCTACAGCGATTATGCTTCTGTACCTTAAACAACATGTAAGATGCATAGTTTTTGCTGAGCTTCAAAGCTGAGTATCCGCTCTGTTTATCAGAAGGGAGAGCCTTACTGCCACTCCTGGCAAATACTAACCTTTATCAACCAAAACAAAAGACATACATGTGTCTAAATTGCTGTTTAAGAGGTGGCTTTAATTTGATATGGTTACTTTATAATCTTGAGTTTTAGTCAACCTCTTTTACCTATATACTCACTAACTCCCTGTCATTCTCTTTCATGCTCACACATTAACTAGTCAAAGTCAAAAGTCAAGTCAAAGTCAACTTTATTGTCAATCTTCCAGTTTGTGTGTACAGACAGAGAGATTGAAATACCATTTCCCACAATCCCGAATATAAAAACAAATGTATATACAAATATACAAATATGTGTACAAATATGTATATATACACGGTCAAAGACACATGTTTACATGTGCACACATTAAGACCTAAATAAAAACACAAAAATCAATATATACAAAATAACAGTCACTTCAATATTTTGAGAATGTACATTAGTGCAAGATTGTCCATAGAATGTGCAGATTGTCCATATAATGTGCAAAACATTAGTGCAAGATAACTCTAACTATAACAGTTGTTGCAAAAATGCAGCTGAACAAAGGATCAGCTTACTTTCAGGAAGAATGCTAATATTAAAGCTCTGTTTACCTTATGGATCTATTCATTTTCACTGAATCAGTAATCGATTATGTACTTGTATGTTTTATCTTCACTGTCTAGAATATTGTGTGTAGAGAGTCTTCTCAATCAATCAATCAATCAATCAATCAATCAATCAATCAATCAATCAATCAATCAATCAATGTTTATTTATATAGCCCAATATCACAAATGTTACATTTGTCTCAGTGGTCTTCACAGTTTGTACAGAATATCAGTATGACAATACGACACCCTCTGTCCTTAGACCCTCACATCGTACAAGGAAAAACTTCTGGAGAAAACCCACAGTTTAAAGGGAAAAATGGGAGAAACCTCAGGGAGAGCAACAGAGGAGGGATCCCTCTCCCAGGACGGACAGACGTGCAATAGATGCCGTGTGTAAATTGAAAAGATAATACATTTGCAACATAGGTAGTCCAAATGTTTGGAAATGCATGTGTGTATAATAGGAAGATGAATCCATGAGGATATCCATCCAGGACCTATGATCCAGGACCACAGCCACGACTCAAGATCCAGGGCTCGCGATCCAGGACACAGGACCGCAGGATCATCCATGACTCCGAATCCCGGCGTATATAGACACCAAAAAGAAAGACATTTGGGGAAGCTGGGTTAATCGGAACATGAGAGTACACAGGTATAGACAGAGAGAAGGAAGAAGTAAGATGTCCCCCGACAAACTACGCCTATATCAGCAAAACTAGGGGCTGAATCTAATCAGCCCTAACTATAAGCTTTATCAAAAAGGAAGGTCTTAAGCGCACTCTTAAAAACGGATAGGGTGTCTGCCGCCCGAACACAAACTGGAAGCTGATTCCACAAATGTGGAGCTTGATAAGAAAAGGCTCTGGCTCCCATTGTACTTTTAGAGACTCTAGGAACAACCAACAACCCTGCATTCTTGGAACGCAATGCCCTAGTAGGACAGTAGGGTATAATGAGTTATTTAAGGTAAGATGGCGCCTGCCCATTAAGGGCTTTGTAGGCGAGAAGAAGAATTTTAAATTCTATCCTGTGTTCTATAGGGAGCCAGTGTAAGGCAGCCAGAACAGGAGTAATGTGGTCCCTTTTCCTAACTCTGGTTAGTACACGAGCTGCAGCATTTTGAATCAGCTGAAGCGTACCTTCTGAAGGTAGGGAAGGTCTCACCTTAAGTCTCTGCTGTATTGCATATTAATTGATTCTTGATTTTTGGATAAGAAATAATTATAAATAAAAAAAAGATCAGACAGAACATTTTGTTCAATTCAGAATATTTTTAGATGTCTTGATGAATGCCTAAACATTACTTTTTAAAGTAGCTCTGAATTACCATATTCTTTACATCCTAGTTTTCAAGGGTCACTTGCAAATCACAATTGGCTCACAGGGTCATTTCCCTTGAATTGTCAGAGTCAGCGTTTTCATGGTGGGGTGGCTAACTACCTTGTTCCCATTGTTCTTTTAGACCATGGAGAAAACTCATCATACTTCTGAAGCAATCTCCTGTGGACTGTATCACTTCAGGTGTTAATAATTCAATAGCAGATACTACTTCTGCTGAACTGATGATCGCAACTACTTTTCAAATGTTTTTGGGCACAGGGCAGGCTTGTGGGCACACTGTCTAGTACGAAAAAATAGTAATATAACGTAAAGTCAAAAAAGAATACAGTCCCTGGCCAGCCATCCTTTACCTTTTCGGAAAATCAGCACTGATCTGTAATCTGTTTTAAAAAGAAGTCAAAGGGAGGGCTCAGGGCAGACTTTCTAGTCATTTGTGTTTGTCCTTGAGACTGTACCTAATCCCAAGTTTGAGGTATCACACATTTCATTGATATACTGCTTCAGAGTGAGCGCTTTTGTAAAGTCAAAGGCAATAGTGTTGTAGAAATGAATGTACTATGCCCTACTCTTCTAATAAGAGATGAGCATTATCAGCAGGGGATCTGACTTCAGTGTGACATCCAACAAAGTACGAAAAACAGCTTGGTTTCTGTGCAACAGCTCTCGTTAAAACCTACATTTGGCCTAATGTCCTACTCGTATGTGTTATTTGATATTGATACTAATATATACTATACTATATGTTATCTTATCAAACTTTCCAACAGCAGGCTGTAGTTTTCAGCCAAAAAGCTCTAATAAACCTTGTGCACTGTGTGTTACATCCCCTATGCGTTACAGACATACAATGGATCTCATTCAAGAACACGTTTCTATTTATATCTTCAAACACTCACTTGTTTCCAGTATGGTTTTATTGTGCAAGTGCTTTAAGTGGGATTCACCTTTTTTTTGTATGCACAAACGTGCAGTTAAAACCAGTTTCAGTCTGATGAATACTAGTTATTTGTAACAAGGTCATAATCATTAGCATAATTAACGACCCCTTTATTGCAATGTAGGAATACATCTCAAAACCCAGAGGGCCCTTTAGAATTAGAAAGGTTAATAGTAGAGTGTTCC